GCAAACTTCTAGTAGTTTAAGGCGCCAACATTAGGAGTGCGACATCGAAGTTCGGCATGCATCAGCCATGCGCTGAGAGTGACGGTCGAAGGAGGTTTTGAGGTTATAAGGTTCATAGGGTCTAGAGGATTATAGTTATAGAGCTCATAGGGTTTATAAGGCGTAGGGCGTATAGGGTCTATAGGGTGTATAGTGTATGGGATTGAGGGTCTAGGGGTTGGGGACGCGGTTTAGGGTTCGCCTCGAGGGGTCTCTGGTTCTTAAAGGGTTCTTTAGGTTTGTATGGTTCAGGTTTTGGGTGTTTCAGTGTTTTGACCTTTAGGGCTTGGTGTTTAGAGTTTGGGCTTGTTTCAGACGACAATCAAAAACGTAGTCGGGGATTGCTAAAACCCTAAAAACCCTAAACCCCAAGAGGAGGTTTTGTAAGGCTTCTTATAAGATGCTACAGGCCGTAATATCGGGGCCTTGATAATGAGAATAGGGTTTTGGGGCCCGTTATACTATAATCATAATAAGGAACCCCCAAAACCCTATTCTAATTATTAAGGCCCCTAAACCCTAAACCCCTGAACCCCTAAATCTAGGACATTATTAAGGCACCTACATCCGGCTTTTTGTAGGGCTTCTTACGAGATGTCACCGGCCTTAACTGCGGTTCTGCCGGGGGCCTGCGGGAGCTGGGGAAGCCCGAAGCTCGTCTTTTTGGGGCTCCAGGTGGCTGAACACAGCCCTAAAGCCCGAAACCCTAAACGCTAAAACCTTAAAACCCTAAAGCTCGAAGCCCTAAACCCTATAAACCCTAAACCGTAAACCCTAAACCCTGAACCCAAAACCCTAAAACCCCAAAACCCTATAAACCCTAGACGCTAAACCCTAAAACCCTAAAACCCTGAAACCCTAAACCCTATAAACGCTAAACCCTAAAACCCTAAACGCTAAAACCCTAAAGCCCTGAACCCTAAAACCTGAACTCTATAAACCCCAAAACCCTGAATCCATAGCCGCCTTAATGTTTTGAGTTTTGAGCCCTGAATCCTTAACCTCCTGAAACCCGAGACCAAAACTCAACACGGTTTAGGGCTTTGGGTTTAGGTGTTTTGTTGCGGTTGCCCTACTCAGAAATGATTGGCTCTGAGTCACCCTAAACCCTAAACCCTAAACCGTGCCGAGGTCTCCGCGCAACATGCCTCTATACATCTTCTTACGCCTGGGGCTTGGCGCTACTTTAGGGCTCTGGGGTTTAGGGTTTAGGGTCAGGGATTAGAGGTAATGACCCTAAGCAGGAACACGGCTTGGAGTTTGGAGTTTAGGGCTTGACATACCCTTTCGGAAGGTTCGAGGCAAGAAGTAAGTTAGTCCAAAGACCTGTGAACTACATTTGTAGCTTCCATAGGCTCTGCTCAGTGTGGTCTTGCAGCTTCTTCGTTGTTTCCGACGGTGCAATAACCCTGCTTCAGAACTACCATCTGCCATGGCCTTGCTTACGGTGCTCTCATCGCTAATGTCGACTACAACGATGGAGATTAGAGCGACGACGAGGAAGCTTTTGTTTTTGATGATTACGATTACGATGCTGCTGCTGATGATGATGGTGATGGTGACGATGATGATGATGATGATGATGACGGCGATGATGATGCTGCTGCCAGTGATGACGAAATAGAGGCGACCAAGTTGATGTTCGCCGCGGAAATGGCGTCTCGTCTCAGTCCTCGAATTTCTTTTTTTCTCCTGTCGGATGCTGCACTTCCTCTATATATGCTAGATACCACGATATTTCATTTCGATGGCTTCCCGAGCTAAACCTTCAGCCCTAGGGCGGACAGACCTTGGCCAGAACCCTGTGTGGGAGGTTCCGATTATTAGGGGTACCTTAT